AATAGCAGACTGGGAAGCAAAGGCCAAGAGTGATAATCTTGACCCCAGCTCTAACAACTAGAAGACTACGGGCAAAAGAGCATCACATAGTAATAGCCACCTACTCCTCATGGTTGGCTGTAGCTTCCATTTGTGGCACCATCTTAGCTTTTGTTAAGAGCATTTCTCTCCTTTCATTATCTGAATTCCAAACCCTGCTTTCCCAGACGTAACAAAGCCTGGGGATGGAACAATGAATTCCATGCCTCAAGACCAATCATTTATAAATTTGATAGAATCACTTTGCTATCCTTCATGCAATAACGAATAACGCCTTCTCCTCCACCTTTATTTTTTCACATGTAACTAGCTGGTTTGATGTCTGCATTTTAAAATAAATGTCATTAGTGTTAACACCAAGAAACACTTGTTGTTTTGTGCCTTTGGGGCATTTTAATGTAACCCTTCTGCCAGGTAGTGTTGGCAGCAACAAGGGTTGGGTTCAATATCTAAGGGTTCCTCTTAACAGTACAAAGCAGAACCGTCTCAAGCCCCCATCCAATAATCTGGGAAACTACACATCACCCCTGGGCGCATCTGAGAGGCAATACTTCCTCTCTCTCAAGTGCTGAGTCGGTGTATAATAAAAGACAACTTTTAATAAAAGGGAAAGGGAACTCAGCATGAATTTGTGAAAGCACCACAGTTCAAAAAGCATGTGACCATAAGCAAACACCACCCCAACAGTATGTTGAGCAGTGTCCTTTGCCTCAGTTTCCCACCTTGCGGTGTAAATGTCCAAAGAATGAATATCCCTTTAACATGACACTCACATTCCCCTCCACTGCAAGCTCACTCAGAATTGGTTGTTCTTGGTCAGTGAAGACCCAGAATTCAGAGGTGCATTCAGGGTTCACTTCCCACCCTGAAAGGGGGGTGTTGAGCAATGTCTCTGCTGCTGCAACTGGTTTATGGGTGATGCTATCTCTGCCGCTGTTTGCTGCTGCTTGCCACTGCTGCTGCTGTTTTCCCTACCACCGCTGGCTGCGGCTGCTATCTCTGCCACTCTTTTCTTTGTTATCACTGCAGCTGCTTACTACTCACTGCCAGGTCTGCAGCGGTGTGTTCTGAGGTTCCACCGCTTAGCCCAGTCTTAATGATTTCACTGGGTAGCAGGGAACTTCAGTGTTGTTTTTCACTAAAACGCTCTCCACAAACTCGATCTAAGGCTTAGCCCCTAAACCTGCTCCTCAATGATTCATCACTAGTCCACACCATGGTAACACCACACCTTATCTCTTTCACTAGGATTTGGCATCCATACTTCCTGCTTAGCAAGTGAGATTCAGTCTAGGGTGACCTCCTCAGTTAGGGCAGGTTAAGTACAGTTCTGCTGCCCTTTATTCATACAATAAGGATAACATTTCAATGCCCCTGTATTCAATACTAAAGTGAAGTGCAACCGAAAATTAGCCCAAAGTGATCACTTTGGTAAAGCAGTTCCATGAGCACCTAGGCAGAGTAGGCGTGTCTATGCAAATACTGCCTGGTCCTGAAGCCTTTTTCCCCATTCATCACTAGATGCCAAGGGAGAGCTCATTCAGACCCTGCTTACATTAAAATATGAATTCCATGAAGTATGTCAGCGCAGAACAGCATGACCTACTTGAGTGTATGAGTCCTGATTTTCATAGGTGCTGAGCTATTCAACTCTCATTAAAATCAATGGGAGCTGCAGCTGATAGCACTCTGAAGAATGATGCCAGTAATATTTACCACCAATCCAAACGAGAAAGGTCAGGAAAAAACAACAACATTGCCATAGGGATCAAGCCTTACTCACAAAAAAACTTTTTTGTTTCTTATATGCATCCTCTGACCTATCATTTCTTTCAAGGGGGTCTTGAAAGCAGTATTTAAAAATAGTTTCAGGAGGCTCTTTCGAACCTCACAAGCTAAGCAGAGACATACCTGCCAGTCAACATGAGGACTGAAGATCTACTCGGAAAACCCAGGATGCTGTAAGAAATGGCCCAAATGATTCAGTACAAAACTAATACCCTTGCATGGCATTATGAGGCACTGTGCTGCAACAGGAGCCGCCTTTTGATGAAGTGTGGGCTACTGGTTGTCATTAAAAATCCTATGATACTTCTTTGTGAGAATATGGGTGTTAGCCCTGATGTCTGGGCCAAATACCAAATTGAATAGTCACATTCTACCTACCTAAAAGTCCCCCTGCAGTTTCAATTATAGAACATTCATTGTTATTGGATCTAGAGGTTTGCTGCATAAAGGCTTTTTCCACCTTCCACCCCAGTGGCAAGTGAAATGATCCCGGAGTTTATAAAGTTTTTAAAGCTCTTTGGATGAAAGGCAGTCTATAAATATCAGTTATCTGATCAGCTCAATTTCTGAATGCCACATAAAGAGGGATATTTTGATTCTCTTCCCAGACTTTTTTGCGCAATCAATCCTCCCTCCTCTGCATATTCTATTACCACCTTCTAATGATTGGAGATGTATAATCAGACCTCAGAAATGAAGCATGCTGCTGCATCATTCATAATGAAATGCATTCTTTCTTATAGCAACACAGGGTGCAGATGGCTTCTATGCTGTTAGCAAGAGCATCAATCCAATAAGCAAACATTCAGTCTTAGCTGATGTGCTTTTCTATTTAGCAACATTTGTTTTAATTGCTGGGCAGATAGGACCAAACTGTATCCAATACATCTACCTGTCATTTCAATGTCTGGGTGCATAAAGGAATAGAACAATTAATAATGACCAATGTAATACTTATCCATAATCAGAGGCTGCTATGTAAAGAATATTTAGTAAGTGCATGGTGATCACATCAGCTAGAACATTACATTGCTGGAAGCAATTACTATTTACGATGCACAAGATTCAAAAGTAGCATCAATTTGAACTGCACAGAGGAGGATAAAACAAACCCACAAACAAGCAGTGTTCCTAAAATACTCTAACATGCATTATTAAATTGTTCCCTCTCCCCCTTCCCCCGAATATTACAGAGACAAGGTGGGCTCATTTCTATGTTTATGAGGGATACTAAAAATTACAAAACAGCGAGTGGGCAGCAGGATATTGTACAGAGACAAGGTCAAAAAGAATAAATTTCTACTCTTGAACAGTGCCCGCACACACGCACACACAGACACAGACACGGGAATTGCTGCTTAAACCATTCTCTGTTTTTTCTCTATAAATGTGTAATAGAGCTTATTCAGAGCCAATATCTCATATATAATATATTTAGCTAGCGTAACAAACAGAATATTAGCTCTTAGTAATATTTTGCAAACACTACACCTGCTTTGGGCTCATCTCAGGAAGGTACAAGTGTTCAATAAATCAAGTCAAACATGGTTATTGGGTAACCTAACAACTATTGTCTCATTGGGCCTGATCCCGCAAGCACTCTGGACCAGATTTTTAAAGATATTTAGGAGACAAAACATTCAGATAGGCACTTGGACACTTTTGGAAATCCCACTAGGTGCCTAACTACCATTGTCCAGTAGGCACCAATCTACATCTTTAAGCACCTAAATAACTTCAGAAATCTGTCTCTCTGTTACTAGAACTCCCTATCTATATATGAGCCTGGAGCCAAGCAACATTGCACAAAAGGATACAAGACCAACAAACTCATTTTATTTGTGACCAAGACAAGTTTGAATCCCATCCCCTAGAATTAAAAACAAACCAAAACGCAATGAGGAAGATTTGAAATGTTGATCCTTCTCTAGTAGCATGCCTCCAATATTTCAACAAGAGGCTACAACCATCCTTTCCCAGCTGTTAGCCTGTGATAAACCCTCTGTAGCCGGGATAATTATGATCACCAAAAGGAGGGGGAAAAGGAGTGAAAAATCCATTTGTTTGTTTTCCATTTAAGCAAAAATGTTTTCTAATACCGAAAGGAGGAGGCAAAAAGTGCTTGATAATCTTATAGGAAGTGCAGGTGTTGGGAATGTTTATATGTTGAGCATCAAAAATATACTAAGTGTATTGTAGAAAGCAAAATGATCAATTGATGTAATTTGAAGGAAGGAGAAGGGTTGTAAATGTTCCAACAGGCCTAAATCCCTTGGAATTTTACCATTTATTTAAAAAAATTAAAAATTGACTCTGGGTGTTTTCCCTGTGAATTTTATTTCCCATTTGGTGCCATCTGGTCTGTTTCAAAGTATATTTATTTAGTCTTAATACAATTTCTCTTCAAATCTTACTGTACAATCTTTAACATACAACACAGATAAACACCAGCTGTTTTTTGTCAAAATAATGGCTTTTTTCTAAATCTTTTTTGTTTTACAAAGTTTTTGCCTCTTTTTAAAAAATAATCATTGTGATTTTTCATTTTTGTTAAACATTTTCTTTATAAGTTTATCAACATTCTTAATTTGCCAAAAAAAATCAGTTTTTGCAGTAAAGAAAAAAAATCAATAAATATTTCAAAACAAAAGAACTTGTGGGGTCTTTAAAATGAAAAATGGCTCTATTTGAACCTGGCAGAATGGAACCAACTTTGAAATTTCAAGATCTTGCACAATTTTTTTTCTTACATTTCCCAACCATCTCTAATAAAATATCCCAATATGAATTTAATGGAAAGGCTCTGTCAATATACATGCTATATTCATGTGTGCTAATGTGTCAATACAAAACAAAGTCTTCCACAGGGATTAAAACCTCCAAACCAATCACCCAAAGCCCAAGAGATGAGGCTTGCAATATTCCCAAAAGGTTAAGGGCTAGTCTGCAGTGGAGTGATACTGATTTACATCATCTGACGAGTGGGCCATAGATCAGGATGTTCTCAGACCAAGGGGAGAAGAGAAAAAACCCCAACCAACAGTCTCTCTTCTACAAACTAGAGAACTGTCATAATGTTTACTTTCCAGAAACATCATCTATCTGGCAGGGATGATTTAGAATTATTCTGAAAGTAAGTGAGCCCCATCAGGAGCAGAATTATCACCACAAACCTCCTTCCATTTGGTGGTGGAATTTTAACAAAAGACTGCCAGGATCCCACTCTGGAAGGTCTCTTTCCTTGTCTCATCTCCGAGGCTTTGTCTGACTTAGTACATCAGTCTTGTACATCTTTGCTCTACTCATATGGAGTCCTCTGTCCAGTAAATGAAAACAGATAGAGGCAGGGTGGCTGCTTTGCAGCTTTGTGTTTCCTTCCTAAATCCACTGGAGCATGAAGTTTCACTAACAGAGAAATTAAAATACATGGTTCCTTGGTTTTCAGGAATGCGACATTGACTTAAAATTAAGCTCCAATGCTGCCCAAGCCCGATATATGTTAACATTAGCCCACAACAGGGGTAGAATAGGAGAGAAAATGGATACACCAGGCCAAAAGTTCGGATAACAGATAAATAATCAACCATGGCAGAAGAGGAACTATATGGGGAGGAAGATAATGCAGATTACTTTACTCTGGGAATTGAAATAGCTTGTGGTAATGATTAAACACTGAAATACACTGGTAGTTTGAAAGAGATAACAGCAGAAAAGCATCCTTCCCTGCCCTGTAAATCATATCCTGAAATGTTAGGATTATTATTATTTTTATTTGAAACCTTACCTTAATATAATAAAATGTGCGTGGCTGATTTTCCAAAAAACATTTAAAGGAGATGTTTTCCCATTTGGGCTTCCCATTAATTATAACCAATATGTGTATTTATTTAAGACTTTTTCAGGATCCTCAGAGCTCAACTCATTTTCTTTCACTTTTACCTCTAAAAGAGACAACACACCTTTTGCAATCAAATGCATGGGCCTGATTCTGATCTCACTCTCACAAAGTAATGAGGGGTAACATCACTAAAGTCAGTGCCATTAGACCACTATACAGCTTCATAGTTTTCTTAAATTGTACTTCTAGTCAATCTATTTCTCATTAACTACTAGACAAGAGAGGATACATTTCCATGCAGTAGGACCTATCTGGTGGCTGTGCTCTGACAAGTGCAAGATCCTGGTTCAATTCCTCATTTAAATCTATTGTTTCTCCAAGCTATCAGAGTTTGGGAAATGCTGAGGAGCAAAGCATTCAGTTCTCACATCACTGAGCAGTGACTCCCTTTTGCAGCCAACCCAGGTAGTATGTTGAATATTGGAATCATGTTCTATTCCTTCTCAATCCATAACCCAGGGCCTACTGCTCATGGGCATACATTTGCTGCGTGTGTTGGAGAGGGAAGGACTGGAGGTATCCTCAGAGTTCCTACAGGGATGCAGAAGTGTTTTCTTGATGTGCAGGGGAGGTCCCCATATTTTAATATATGCACGCATGTGTGTGACATACTGGAGCACAATCCAGATTAGTGAGGGGCTGTGTCATCCCTGCCCTGAAACCTTGGGTACCTTATAATGCCTTCCTGTAGTAGCTCTCACCTCGGCCACTCACAAACAGCCTTCCAGCATGCAGCCACATCCTGAGTGCCTGTGTGTAACTGCAGCCTGCCAGTCACACCATGGCTCTCACCAGACTTGCTTATACTGCTGGGTGACCCCAACAAACACACAGTCCCAGGTTTTCCCCTATAAATTTAAATCCTGTACTGCCAGCCCTCTCTGGGACAGTACAAATATATTAATTCCGTTATTCCTTTAAGGTAGCGGTTCTCAACCTGCAGCCCACAGCCCAACTCAGCTGTGTGATAAAGGGTGGCCCGCATCCCGGGGTCCTGTCAGGTTCCCGGCTGACCAGTGTGGAGGGGTATGGGCTGCCATGCTGCCCGGCACTGCGGGGGCGGGGTCAGGGCTGCCGGCCCACCCTGCGTGGTGACAGTCTGGGGTAGGGGCTGCCTTCCGGCCTTGCAGGGACAGGGATCTGGGGCTCCTGGACAGCTCTACGTGGCGAGGATCCAGGGTCAGGGCAGACGGCCGGCGGGGGTCCGCAGTGAATATCCGGGGACAGGGTCCGGTATCCTGCTGCCCTACCACCTGGCCCTTGTGGCCCAGGTAACACACTGTGGGCTGCATAATGTGTAATAACTTGAGAACCACTGCTTTAAGGGAATAATACGTCAGTTTATTATTGTAAATAGAATTACCCACAGTCTTCAATTGAAACACACTAGATTAGATAAAACAGTAAAACACGTTTATTAACTACAAATAGATAAATTTTAAGTGAGTATAAATACTAAGGCATAAAAGTCAGAAATGATTGCAAGTAAAATAAATATAAAACACTAGTATCCACTTAAGAAACTATCTTAGTTGCAAAGCCAACTTTTGTACCACAGATTACTGACCAAACTTTCAGGTCAGGACCCTACCCCCAGAATTGAATGGCTGTTTCTTTTTGTCTTCTCAGATGCAGAGAATGAGTTGTGCAGGGAGAAATAGAGGGGTATCTTGCGATCTTTGTCCTTCCCTTTTATAGTTCCAGTCCCCCTCTTGTAAAATGTTTGCAGCTGAGAACCAGGAGATAAAGAATCTATGTGGAAGGATGTTTGCTGCTGGATTTTTTTACCTGTTTGAACTTCCTTTGTTTTCTCTTCCTAATTGATGATTCTGTTTGCTGCTTAAGTGCAAATTATGGCAAGCACACATTCCATTGTTTAGAACAGACCTGTTTGCCGACTTCTGCTTGGGCAGGACTGTGGGGTTTGGAACATGTACTAATAACATCATAGAGGGGGATCTTATAACTTTACATACAGTGTTATACATATTTTATCAAGTGATACTTTACAAAGGCATATTTTGTACAAAGATTATTACAATAGTTTGGAGGGTGTGAATACAGGGGTGTAGTCTGTCACAATGTGTCATTTCTAAAACTTTATGGCCAGAAACATCACATTTTAAGGGGAACTGGTAGGAGAGGGGAAAGAATGAATAGACTGGGAATGGAAGAGAACTTCTGAATTGTCAACCTGCAAAGGCAAGACAAAACAGTGTAGAAATAGAAAGCATTCATTACTGTGAGAGAATGACTGTACTGCATAAAAGCACCTAGGATCTATGGCTTTTAGTGATGGATAAGAAGAGCTCTTCGCCAGGGCAAGCCAACACATCTTGCAACTTAATGTTTGAGGTTACCAACTGTACAACACGATTTTCCCTCTCACCTGGGACTGGGGAAAAACACATTTATTTTGCAGAAATTATGGAGAGGATGTATTGCAAGAGACCATATCTAATCCATCCACATAGGACTATTCCCTACTGTATGTTCCACAGTGCGAGGTTCAAACACATTCTATCTATCTCAAACACAGGAGATTCAGACACTTCCCTTCACAGATTTTTCCACAACCTAACAGATCCCCACTGAGCCATGTTCACCTCTGCATGGAAGGGAGGGTTTGAAACAGAGATGGGTGAACCAGGCAAAAACAACTTTGTGGTGGAAAAAATGAAATATCAAAGTTGTTTCCACTTTGTAGGGTTCAAAACAGAACTTTTGTTTTTTGGAACACTTTTTATGAAATGTATTTTGGAAAATGGCAAATTTTCAATTATTAGAATTTTGATTTTTCCTCTCCCTCGTTTTTTGATAGTGAACGCAATAAAATGAAGGCTGTCCATGTTTTTGTTTTCAATTTTCATTTTTTAAAATGCCCATGGTTCTTTGGGCTCCAATAAGCTGAGCCAATCTAGGAATTCTTTCCCAGTGGATTGTGGGTGAACTTTTCTATCCTTTCTGAGGACACAGGAGAATTGTGAGAAGGTGCTGGGGGACTAGCAGCCCTTGAGTGGAGCTAGCCTGGGTCCACATTGTGCATTGGTTCCGTTAGCTACTGACGAGTAGTGCTAACTTGTGTTTCAGCTTACTCTCGTTCTTGGGTCAGCAGACCTGAGTTAAAAGCACTGCCACACTTGAGTTAATAGTTTTTGTTTTGAGGACAGGAGTCATGCTGGGGGCCAATTCAAATGATAATTCAAGTTAATTTTGCAGTAAAGACAAGCCTTTTGCTCTGTCAGAAAGAAGCTACAAGAAACAGGTCCCCCAATGGTCGAGTTTGGAACTACTGCTCCTGTTTTAACTTGCTCTTTGAACAAAACATTCAATTAAATAGGAATCTGGAATATGAGTTTTGCCGTAATACTCTAGAAAATAAACACCACTATGGACAAAATGGCCTTCTTCTTCAGTGACATTACACATGCAACCCCAATGATTCCTATGTGGAAGTGAGGCAACCACGGTAGAATTGTTTCCCATTGTTAGTAATTTTTTTTCTACTATGCAGCCTACATTCATTTTTCCTTTCTCAGTTTCTTCCCATTATTCTATAATGGTGGCAATCCACTTATTTAGATGTGAGACAGTTCCAGCCCTCCCCCCAGCCCTGATTAAATATAATAAATGGTTCAGCATGGTGCATTTGCTTAATACAGTTATACACAGTCAATTGTCTTCACTTCTAATGGAACATTATGCACATTAAACTTAGTAAGGCTCAAATGCTCCATCTGCTCTGAATACAAAGTGTAAAATACTGTCTTTGGCATGTTTTATGCTGTACTGTGTACGTATCATTGTTATAATTTATTGAATATAGTAAAAAGTCAATAGAGATCAGAACAATTTTGTTTGGTAGCTTTAGTTCTTGGATGACTTGAATGTTGAAAGAGGCTTGTTTTGAAGCTAGGGAGCTCCAGCATCATTCTAAATGAAGTCCATAAAAATATATTTGGTTTTGGAAGTAGAAGTCTCAGGGAACTGGTCAAGTGACATGGAACCTTTCACCCCTGGCTCACCCATTCAGATTCAACCCAGGTTGGCAGTGATTGCAGGTAATCACTATGTAATGACTGCTTAGTCATGAACGTGAAATGAGTTGCTCATGTCTGTCCAGTTGCTATTGAATCTTGGTGTTTCTACTGGTGTTCCTGTCATACAGAGGATGAGAAAAACACTACCAAGGCTAAGGAATGACTTGGACATATTGACTGAATGACCATTTACTCCCCAAAATGATTTCAGAGGGACAGTGTGAGGGAAGCTTGGCTTGATATTTCCTAGGTTGTACATTTCTGAAAAATTGCATACTTAAATGTCCAGAATTATCAGTCCAGCACCTTTAACCAGCTCTAAATCACTTCTGGTATAAATAAAACTATTATTTTTATAATTGAAGCTCAAAACAGGCAACAAAATTGTGTGTGCTTGTGTGCATGTGTATGTTTTATATACAATATTAATATTAATAATCTTTAGATAGGAAAAAACCTT